AGCATGCCCTCCAGCTGCTCTGGGCTGGGCAAGGACTCCTCCACTATCTATAAGAAAAACATTACCACTCCTTTGCATCCTCTAAGCCCCTACAGTATTGAAGTCTCCAATGGCCTCCTACCCAGAGTTCCTGCTTCCTGACTTGAAAGATTTCACAACCCAGGAGAAGGGCCAAGGGAACAAACTACCCAGGATTTGCCTGCCCTTCGAGGGTCCCTGTGATGCTTGCCTCCACACAAACGTTCCCTTACTCAAAAAAAAAAAAAAAAAAAAAAAAAAAGTCCTCCTTGGAGAAAGCCCAGTCATTTATTGAGTACCACCTGCCACATGGGTTAATCCAGCCCCAGACTTTTCTTTTATGGCCAACCACATTTCAACCACAGCTGATGCTCCACCCAACCCTTTAGCACTCCTGAGAAATGAGGGGCAATAAATCGCCATCCTCTCAACATAGCCTGGGCTCCCAGCCACCACACTGTCACCACCACCGCCTGCCCACACACTTCAGAAGGAAGATTTTACAGGAGCCTCAGATGATGCTGAACTTCAATTAAGCCCTGCTGGCAAATTAGTCACGCAGGGTGACATTTTCCAATCATGGAGCATTAGCATCCGCTCTAATTATGGGACTGTGGTACTCACATGTGTAGAAGCAAACAAGACTGTGTGCTCAGGAGCTTGAGTGTATTAAAACACACCTACACACATAGGCACATACACGCGTGCGTGTTGCTTGAGTTTTCCTGCCTGGCCCACAGTCAGGACAAATCTCTCTCACCCGCCAGTCCCACAGCCACTCAGACCCGACCAAGTAAACACAGAGACTTATATTGGTTACAAACTGTATGGCCGTGGCAGGCTTCTTGTTAACTGTTCTTACAGCTTAAATTAATCTATTTTTATTAATCTACACACACACACACACACACACACACACACACACACACACGGCTGCAGAATTTTTCACTTCCTTAACATTGCTTAAAAGTGGACTTGGCGCCGGGCGGTGGTGGCGCACGCCTTTAATCCCAGCACTCGGGAGGCAGAGCCAGGCGGATCTTTGTGAGTTCGAGGCCAGCCTGGGCTACCAAGTGAGTCCCAGGAAAGGCGCAAAGCTACACAGAGAAACCCTGTCTTGAAAAACTGAAAAAAAAAAAAAAAAAGTGGACTTGGCATTTTGCTTAAGGTGAGATGAAAGCCACATGAAGGAAATCTTTCCGTATCAGGGAGTACCCCTAAGTGTCTAGTGGTCAACGAGAATTGCAGAAAACAATGGCTGACATGTGAAGAATATTGAACTCCTCTGCCTCTTTGCTCAGTGGGAGGCATCATAGTTTATCCTCAGAGTGCCCTGACTGGTCCCCATCAATGGGGGCATGACAGCCACCATCTTACTGGCAAGCCTAGCCTTGTCTTCCATCGAGTGTGTAAAATAAAAGGCAGTGGCTCTGCTGGGCTTCCCTCTCTGTCTTCCTGCCTTCTGATATCATCTCACCATGCAATCTCAGTCAAGGTCCAGGGGATTCTCGAACCTGGAGACAACTCAGGGTCTCTACATGCTAGACAACGTCTGGAGCTAGGAGCAGCAGCTCTTGTCTCTCTCCGCCCTCCATTGCTCCAAGACCATGGCTCTGGTTGTTAGAGTAAGGACTTCTAGTCCAACATTTTTTAAAATCCCTGTTCTCCTTCTGAACTGAACCAAAACAAAATATCCCAGAGACTGGTTGTCAGTTTGAAGACTGAAATCTCTCCCTCCCTCCCTCTCTCTCTCTCTCTCTCTCTCTCTCTCTCTCTCTCTCTCTCTCTCTCTCTCTCTCTCTCTCTCTCTCTCCCTCCCTCCCTCCTTTTTCTCTCCCTCCCTCTTTAGTGCCTCTTCTTGTCGCTTCAATTTGATCTGCCAGTGAAATATTTAGACACACTCATGCACCTGAGTCATATCTCTTGACTTTGAGTGATGAGTGAGGAGAAACCAAAGTTACAGATATTCCCACCTAGGACATGAAGAGAGACCGAGGAACATCAGGAAGGGAGCCCCACCCTGGGTCTGTACACCTCTGCCAAGATCTGACCAATCAAATCCTCCAAAGTTCAACCTAACTCACTCTAGAGCTCCCAGCCAGCTGTGAGAGGCAGCAGTCTGTCTTCTGATGGCCAAGGTCATGAGTCTACTCAGCCACATGCACTAGTCCAGGCTTCCAATAACCAAATGGCTTCTACACATATTGTCTCATGTCACCCTCTTAGTATCCTATGAAAGCTAAACACACCAGTAATGTGCCATGACACCCACTCTCTTATCTAATTGTCACAACAATCCACCATAAAATGGAAATTAGTTTCTCAATTTACAAACAAAAAAGCTGAAGGTCATAGAGGCCCAGTGAACGGTTAGCTCAAGGTCACTTGGAAATGGTCTCTGACCACAATCCTGTTATCTCAAGTCCCTTTGGTGTTTTACCAGATACTGTATTTAGCCAAATAGCAAAGGGATACACTAGCTATCCCTAAAAAAGCTACTAATAATCTTAGAAGGTCACCACCTGTGCACACCTCCAATCTCACTTATTATCACCTCCACTATGAATCCTTTTCATTCAATAGCTCTGAGTTCTGTGGAAGCTTGCTGTAGCTAGAGTTTTCCTGCCTGGCCCACAGTCAGGACAAATCTCTTTCACCCGCCAGTCCCACAGCCGCTCAGACCCAACCAAGTAAACACAGAGACTTATATTGCTTACAAACTGTATGGCCGTGGCAGGCTTCTTGCTAACTGTTCTTACAGCTTAAATTAATCCATTTCTATAAATCTATACCTTGCCATGTGGCTTGTGGCTTACTGGCATCTTCACATGCTGCTTGTCATGGCGGTGGCTGGCAGTGTCTCTGACTCAGCCTTCCACTTCCCAGAATTATTCTCCTCCTTGTCCCACCTATACTTCCTCCTACCTGACTACTGGCCAATCAGTGTTCTATTTACTAACCAATCAGAGCAACACATTTGCCATACAGAACATCCCACAGCAGCTTGCCATCATTTTTTGGGGGAAATGCTGCTTGGTTCCTGATCCTAGGAAGAGGTCAAAAGCCAGGGACAGAACCTCTCAGCTTCCTGCCTGAATGGTTGCCCCTGTGAAGTATTTTTCAGACTTCTGGGCCTAGTTCTACATTGGCTGTGCTAAAACTAACTTCGGAATGTGGAAGGCTGACAGTTCCTCTTCTCAGGCAGTCAAAAGGCTACTAGCCTCTGCAGGTTGACTTGGATGTCTTCCCTACTACACTTGCTATTCCTGTGGGTGGATAGAGGCTTCACATGGCTCTGAAAATCTATTCCTTTATTGCAGACACTCCAGAGCAAGGATGACCTCCTATCTCTCTCAGTCCATGGATCAACCTCGCTGGAGCCACAACCACATTCCCGACCCTATTGATAATCCAAGGTGGGAACAGAGACAGACTCTGTACCCAGAGCCCCCTTGGACCTAATGACACATTCATAGTCAGGGCAGAGGGAGATACAATGTCTAGAGCCAACACAGAGTGACAATAAATACATAATTTTTAAATGGCACATGGTATAATTTCCCAAAAGAAATAACAATGCCTTTACTGGGGTGAAGGATCAGACAATCGCATTAGACTTCTACATACAAAGACAGCTTCATCATTCTCGTTTCCTGGGATGTTGCTTGCTTGCTTGCCTATTTTTTTTACAAGACACCAAATTTTCTGACAAGGTTCCTATAATGTAGGTTCAAGCAACAGGGGGAAAAGGAAACTTAACCTAACAAACAAACAAACAAAAAACAGAAAACATCTTGGCCTAACTCATAATCTCCAAACCAGGTTTTTCCAGGGAAGGTTAGCCATTGGAGCAGTAAGGAGTTTGCCTAGCCTCTCAGAAAATGTGTCTCTCCATTGACTATTACTCAATAGTCAATACTGAATATCCTTGAGAGAGAGCAATGGTGGGAAATAGCAGTCATAGAAAATGTTCCATCCAATTCGACATTCCCTCACCCCCTCTGCCTTCTCACCTGACTGCACCCAGGATTCTCCTTCTCTCCTGAGCCCCATCCTACACATATAAGCCAAAGGAAACCATCAGGATGGAAGATGGGGGAAGAGGCCAGCAGGGTATATGGTCAGGAAGGCTGGCGATGCTCACAACTTCACATTGGGGAAGACAACTTCACACAGGAGGACAACTTCACACCATGCAGAGCACACATTCCTTTCCTACAGCCCTGCCACACTGGAAGGCCTCACAGATCACAGCTGGTGCTGTAGATGCCAGTGACGGACAGTGGTGTGAGACAGCTCCAGGACCAGTATTTGTTATATCACCTTCCAGCAAGTCCCATAACAATGGTGACCCTCAGGTTCTTCTTCTGTAACATAGGGGTTGTGGTGGTGTGCATCTCACCTACTAGCTGTGAGGAGCCATAAATGATGCCTTAAAATGCTTCAACTGAGGCTGGAGAGATAACTCAGGGGTAAAGTGCCTGTCACACAGATCCCCAGAACCCACATAAAAGCCAGACGGCAGTGCAAGTGTCTGTAATCCCAGCTTACTCCTAAAGGGAGATAGCAAGCAGAGGCAGGAGAGTCCCCAGGAGCTCACGGGTCATCTGGCCTGGCTTATCATGCAGCAAAGAGATTCCATCTCAAACAAAGTGGAAAAAAGAGAATTAATACCAGAATATTGTCCTCTGAGCTCTACATGTATGCTGTGACATGTACCCATGCACACAATCATATACACATACATTCACATACCACACACACATGCACACAATCATATATATATACATTCACATAACACACACACACACACACACACACACACACACACACACACACACACACAGCTTAGAACAGTGCCTGGGACATGGTGAACACTCAGAATAGTAGGTATGACATTATCATTAACAGCCAGGTATGTGTGCAGCCTTTAAACTGAAGGAAAAGCATGCCTCAAAATTGTGTACACTATTTTGCAAATATGTCATTTTAATGAATTCAACATAAACTCATTGGAAATTACTAAATACACCGCATCTTATAGTAAATTATATATATTCTCAATTGGTGATCATTCAATTAATCTCATACCCATGATCCTATTATTTTTCAACTAAAAGAATCCTAAACCTCAAAAAGGTTGAGAAACACCAATAAATAGCACCACATTATCTCTGCAGGGACTTAGACCAGAGTAGTTAGAACTCAAACACAGAGCTGATGGCTTCATCTGTCCTCAAACAATGGAGCTCTTTCTCTGCTGCCCTTTGTGGCTGCTGCTACGGAAAAATTAGGTAGAATCCATAGCATCAGCAAACACAAAATATCCCTGTTTGTCCCGCGAGTTTCACTCACCTAGATGGATAGCCAGGAGCCACACTGTCAGAATGACTTCCAATCCATAAATAGCGCTGCCATTTAGATGCCACAGGGATAACATTAATACCCAAGCACAAAGGCTAAATAAAAAGCCTTTAGCCACTGAATGGCCTTTAGATTTCCGAATTATCGATTAGGTGGAGCCAGTTAAGTTATGGTGGCTGCAGTCTGGCTCAGAAAAGCCTGTGCTTCAGAGCAAAGTTAGCAGCATGCAGAGTCACCTCTATCTACAAACTGCAGTGGCAGCATTTGGGGGCAGCTAACTGTCCTGTCTACGAAATGACGTTCTAAGAATGACACACACTTACACATGCTAGTGTGGTCCAGTTCCCTGAGCCAACACAAGTTCAAAATTCCCAGCACTCCTAACTTCCAGATGTCATCTCCAAATCACTTTCTAAGACAAGGGTGAGCTTTATTATGCTTCTGTATAATAATGAAATTAAGAAACAAAAATGTCAGGAGGTTTGCCCACGATCAAGCAGGAAATGACTGCAAGTATGGCCAAGTCCCCACAGCCAAGGAAACCCACAAAGCAACTTCTGGATTCTGTGTCCTTCCAACAGGGACAGCCCACCTCAGCGACTTCCCCGAGTCTTCCTTCTCTGGGGTCTCCAGATGCAGCCCAGTCTCTTCCCCCCTTTGATGCTTAGCTCTTCATTGGTTTTGTGAGATCCTTCAGTATCCCTCCAAAACTCCATCCATTGGCTTGAGCCAGCTAGACTTGATGTGCATGGAATTACAACTTGAAATCAGTCCATAGTCTATTTATGTGTAGATTATTCTGAAGAAAACAGTTGGTTCTGTTCATCAGGTTCTAGAAGAAAAAAATATGCAGTCAAATATTCTTTTATTTAGTACAGAACCTCAATCTTATGTAATCTCCATTGTAAAAGTCGTTTTCAAAGGAAGGGAAGAGTGACTACTGGAACTTTTCCTTAAGTCTCTCTCTCTCTCTCTCTCTCTCTCTCTCTCTCTCTCTCTCTCTCTCTCTCTCTCTCTCTCTGTGTGTGTGTGTGTGTGTGTGTGTGTGTGTGTGTGTGTGTGTGTGTGTGTGTACTAAAATCAGGAACAACCAAGGGAAGGGAGACTAGAGTACGGAGACAAAACTGTAAACATCAGAGCCCGGGTTCCAATCCAAGCAGTTCCCGGTTCACTTGATGCTCAGGAGGCAGGATGAGGGGTCTTCTGTCATTTCCCAGCGCTTGGGTCCACCATGTACTTTGTATTGCCCACCCCAGTAACTGTTTGTAACGTATTTTGCCTGTGTTTGTGTGGCACTGTTAGTCAGTGGCTTGGAGCGGGTGCTGAGCAACCTGCTCACCTTTGAATGTCACACTGCAAGGACCTTGAGAAAGGTACTCAAACCCCCTGAGCCTTAGGACTCTCACCTTTCAAAGGGGACAATAGCAGCTGCCTCATAGGGGTCTGGTAAAACAAGATTTCAAGTGTGTCTGGCAGGAAGTGGTCAAAAACCACTCTGATGCCCTAGCACCAGGTCACACGAGAGAGTTAACTAGAAAGGAAGAAGGCAGAGGAGTAGAAAAAGTTGGAGACTTTTTTCCTGGAAAAAAAAGGGGGGGTAGTTCTTTTTGTAAAAAGAGCTGTTATTATCCTCTAGAACTAATTAGAGAAATGATGAAATACTTAACGCTTTGCCTCCAATAAATCCTAAGAAGGATTATTAGATGGGCCAGCAGGAGAAGAGCTCTAAGTGATTTCCTGAAAAACTATACAGCAGGCTGAGGGCGGTTTTGACACTTTACCACCAAAAGAAAGTTAAGTGTGCTCCTCCAAGTGAAGTAGGGAGATTGCAATGAGGTTAAAGTGGTAATTAACAGCCCGGAAGGATGCGATGAAAAGGTACTTAATTTGGAGGCAGACATTTTTATTTCTCTTCATAGTCTTCTGTATTGTTGCTCTTCTTTCATCTCATAATCAAGCAAAAATAGTTTTACTAACAGAGAGTTATGCATTGGTAGAATTTTTAGGAGGCCTGATCAATGCACATACCCATTTCATTCCAAAAATTCATTTGCTAGAATTGGGGTGTCTAGCTATCTCACACTGCTATATGATGGTGTTATCTGCCGATGTGCTGGGCCTCCTTCATGGCTATCCTGATACACATGAAGCTGTGGACTTCAGGTCAGCTAGATAACTCCAGCTCTTCTCTCTCTCTCTCTCTCTCTCTCTCTCTCTCTCTCTCTCTCTCTCTCTATATATATATATATATATATATATATATATATATATATATATATATATATATATATATATATAGTCTCCTATATGCCAGGCTGGCCTCAAACTGACTTACTGACTGGCTAGCTGAGAATGAGACCTTCATCTAATCCTCCTGCTGCCATAACCTGAGCCCTGGGAAGACGGGCATGCACCAACCATGCCTGGTTTGTGTGGTGTTGTCAATCAAACTCCGAACTTTGAGCACGCAAGCTAAGCACTCTACCCGCTGAGTTCCACCCCCAGCCCCTCCAGTGCCTTCGGTAAGTTGCACGAGGCACACAGAGAAAACTGACGTTTTGGATCATTGTGTATTTTACCAGTTATTTCACTTCACATTCTATTTCACTCCATTTCGTACAAACCACTCTGTGGCAGATATTGCTATCCTAATTTCACACAAAGTAGAGAGATAAGAACTCGATGAAATGTGTACTAGTGAGAAAGCAATAATGAGACCCAACATTTTACCAAGAGCCCCCATGAGGGAAAGCTTGCAGAAAACATATTTTCAAACAGAATCTCACCTAGTCTTCATAGTAATCGATTATTTTACTCAGGTGGGTGCAGGTTCAGAAGTGTACCAGCTCCATACAGACACATGAGGACAGGAGCCCTATCCAAACCTGGTCACAGAGCACAGCATAAGGCCAGACCAGACCAGGCCATTCCTGAGGACCCTTCTTCCTGATTCTGTAACCCTTAAATGTACCAGCAAGAACAAGCTGCCTATGCCCTTTCAGTAATAAAAACATATTTCTAAAAATGATGGAGAAACTGTTTCCAAAGCAAAACCTTTTGCAAAGTGTTTTGTGGACATCCCGTTTTGTTGCTCAGAGGACTTTCCCTGACCCAGGGCAGGGATTATGCAAAATTAGCAGGAAGCCACAGGCCTGGATTCTCTTCCTGGGGCCCAAAAGGGCTTGCTACCATCTCCATTCCCATTTACTTCACCTGTCCAGCAGCTTCTGTGCCAGCCAATCAGAGAACACATGGACATCTGTGGCCCCAAGAGATCAGACTCAGGCATGTCTTTTCAGTTAGCAGACATCTTCCATGGAGAAGAGCGGGACTGAGGTTCCTCACACTTCGGTAACAGTAATGACACAGTTAACACAAGTCTAAAATCTCACACTCCAGTAGATGGCTTGAGGAGGCCCCACCTGGGACCCCCTGTCCTTCCATCCATATGGCTCTTAATGTGAATGGTTCTTGTGTCCCTTTATCATCTCTGTCAAAACCACTCTTAGGAGGCTTCCCAGCACGAAGACGTTTTATCCTTCCAGTGGTATGCAACTTCAGACAGAAAATCTGAAAGCAAGGAGGAAAAGTAAGCACTCCTCACCTTGGCAGCTGGCATGCGGACTGTGAACGGGCACTGCGGTGAGCTTGGGGCCTCCTGAGAACCAGAGCAGATGGGCTTTGATTGTCTGCTGGTGAGAAGGGACATGCCTGGGAACTCAGTGCCGGAACTGGAGAGAGTTCTAATAAGAGGCTTCCCTGTTTTGCCTGAAGGTTGAGTCAGTAGCAACAGTTAAGACACACACACACACACACACACACACACACACACACACACACACGCAATGCCAAGTCCATCTGCTCCACCTGACATATATGTCCTTTGGCCCGATGACCAAAAGTCAAATGTTGCCTGAGGCTTCATCTACCAGCAGTGACCCTCGCAGAGCGCTCAGAACAAGGACAACTGGCCTCTGAAGCTAGCCAACTCCCCAGCACGTCTTCCATTCCTCACAGCATAAAGCATGTGCCAATCTGGGGCCAGGTGCCAATCTAGATATTCGAATACATGATTGAGAAGGAGACGGACTTTCTGGGCAGGATGCTGAACAGACACACTCCAAAGACACTGAGATCCAGAATCTGATTTCTCTTGGACCCCAAAGAGCCGCACTACTTGCAGACACAGATTGCCCACAAGCAAAGTGAAAGATAGGGAGTGGGGGGTGGGGGGGTCCTGTCAGGTTCATGGCACACCCCACTGGCTCCCATCTCCTCCCTCTAGGTCCTCCTGCTAATGAGAACAGATTTTTCAGGCTGCTGTTGGGAGAGGGTTGCTCCTCCCTTCACGTAGCCTCACTCTGACGTGAGCAGTCTGTCCAGCAAGAAACTGTCCGTCTCAGGAGCAGTCTTTTGGGTGACATTGAAGCTAACGCTATGTATCAAGAAGTAAGCTAGAGTAAATTATTTCCATCTGTTTGAACTAACGGGTGAGCCGCTACTGGGTGGCATGCAATGACAAGGTCAAAGCAAACAATGTCCACAGGAATGTCTCTCCTTCTCAGGGAGAAGACGCGGAGCTTCACAACACCTCATGCCGCGGCATCCCCCCCCCCCTCGGCTGCTGCTCTCGCTTCAGCCCCAGACTTCAGGCCAAATGCTGCTGAGCACGGAATGATTGCTCTGTGGGTGGAGGCTGCAGTTTTGCCTGAGGTGGAAAGAAAGGTATGATTGACGTGCTGTGTGTGTATTTCCCTGAGAGGAGTTGGGGAGCCCCTAGAGACCTCCCCAGGGGTAGAGCTGGCAGAGAGAGGGAGTGTTCAGAAAAGTCAGGTGATCTACAACATTAGCAGACAGACCAGCCAAGTCTCTCCCGTCTTCAACCTCATTTTTTCAGATGCTCAAGATAGACATGTCACCTGGATGGCTCACCTGTGAGAACCCTCTCCAAATTAGGTCAGTTTTATCCCAATACCAACTTTAGCATGAACAGGTTTGAGACCATTCTTAGGAAACTATGTCATCTTGTCTGTCAGAGCATCCTGAGAGAAGATAAGCCTCATTGGGCCTAAGAGAAAGCTGATTCATGAAAAGGGTAAGATAAATAAACAAAAATAAAATAATAACACAGGGGCTGGAGAGACAGCACATGGTGTTTGCTGGCTTGTTGGACAAGCACAAGGATCTGTGTTTGCTCCCCAGGATCCACTTTTTAAAAAAAAAAATTACACTTGTAATCCCAGAACTGGGAGGAAGACACAAACACATCCCTGAGGATTGATCACCAGCCAGTCTAGCCTACTTGGCAAGGTCCAGAATAGTGAGAGACCCTGTATCACACACACACACACACACACACACACACACACACACACACACACACACACAACAGCAGCAACCAAAGAAAATTGGTGATGGCCCCAAGGAAGGATACGCAAGATTGTCCTCTGGCCTCCACATGCTGTGCACACGTGCATGCACACGCATAGGTGCAACCATGCATGAACATGCACCAACACACACACCTACAAAACAGTAATAACAGAGATTTTACAGAGACAGGACTAGAACCAAGACCTCCAGACTCTGATCCTCTGGGCTTTCCCTAGGCATCTGTGCATCATCACCTACTCTTCGTTTTAAAACCTTTATTACATTTATTTATGTATTATTCACTTAGTATGAGTGTGCACCTATGTGTGTCCAGTGTACATATGGAGGTCAGAGGATAACTTGAGGGAGTAAGATCTTTCCTTCCACCATGTGAGTCCCAGAGGCTGAACTCAGGTTGCCAAAGTTAGGGGCAAACACCTTCACCTGCTGAACCACCTTACTGACTCCATCATCTGTTTGGGTTCATCTTGAATTCCCTTGTCTCCCTCTCCCCCTTGAAGAACCAAAAAAATGGACTACAGGTGTGCTCAGATGTCCTTATATAATGCCCAACTATTAATGAAGCCCTCTTAGCTTTGTTCTAACTGTCCAGGTAAAACCAGCATTGCGCTGTAGAGTATTTCCTACAAAAATGGATAGAACAGAAACTATCAGAACCACGTACTTCTGGGGATAATCCGATGATACCCAAGGGGGAATGCAGTCAAGATCCTGCCGACTGTGGAGAGTAGGAATGCTTAAGGCCCATAGGCTTTCGAACACTCTGAGGTCTGGTGGGCAGCAATGCAATGGAGAGGGATCAGCCACAGAACTGTGAGGTAGTAGGAGGTCAGTGGTTCCGGGCAGCACCTACCCCTCCAGTGTCCTCATCTACCAGCTGGGAAGCCTTCTACCCAGAAGCACCTCTCCTCTTTCCTAGACTGTCGTCTGAAAATGGCTTGGATTTTAGCATCCTACTACTCCGAAATTCTCAAGTGGCTAAGCTCGCAAAGAGGATGATAGAATGCCACCTGTGTTTAGAGAAGGGACAGTGGTCACTCCAAGGGAGAGAAAAGGCAGTGGAGGTAGGCTTTGTGGTAGTAAGTTGCCAATAGGCAAACTAGGTGGGAAAGAGCCACCAGCAAGAGTCTGGACAAGTCAGTGGTCCCCCGCTGTTGGGTTAACAGCCTGATTCCTACAAGGACACTATTGCAGGTGGTGGGAACCCTAAGGAGGGACCAAGTGAGAGATCTTTAGGTCACTGAGACATTCCTCAAGAAGGATAGTGGGAACTCAGTCCCTTTTATTTTTTAACTCTCTTTGTTCCTTGATAGGCAGAGGATCAGTTTCACCCCAACATGTTCCTGCCATGATGGCTTTGTCAAAGCAAGATCCTGAGCTGGAGCCTCCAGAAGAGTGAGCCAAAACAAACCTTTTCTCTTCATAAATTGATGATCTCAGGTACCTTGTTATGGCAATAGAAAGCTGACCAACTTCCCTCCCTACTTATCTGCAGGACAGAGGTTCCCGGCAAGAAGGAATCTGCCCACCGGGTTTTGGTGAGACAGAGGTTCGTGTGGGATAAGCTTTAGTGTGGGTGACAGTGACTCTGTGAAATCTCAGCACGGCCCTCTGCCTAAGAATGTCACCTGCTCTCTGTGAGAGCAGAAGCTACTCAGGCCTGCCAGGGGCTCTAGGGAGCAAAGACCTTTGAAGCCTTGGCGACCAAGGAATCTACATACTGTCTGCCTCCCCCCCTCCCCCTCCCCCCTCCAGCTTCCTTAAACCTAATACCACAATCCCTTACTGATATTAAAAACTGACAAGGAATTTTGCCACCGGCAGTAGCATTTTAATATTGAAAGGTTGTGGAATCTAATAAGAGCGACGAGGAAGTTGGTGGGATAGAGTTATTTGCCCCCGTTCGTGCTTCAGTGGAACTGGGATTCAATAAGCAAATGTGACAGAATGTGTAATTTCCCCTTGATCCGCTGTGGCCAGGCATTTCCTGTTTAATAACCTTAAACCAGCCTGCCTCCCCTTCCCCAAGCCTCTCCCTTCCAGAGAATCTCCCCCCTCCATCTTATCAGAATAATCCTTCATGTGAACGCAGCTCCGACTGGCACTTTGGTGGTACCTTATCACCGCTTGAAGACACAGAGGGAACAAGCTGAAATATTATTTTTCCCCTTTGTGGAAAAGTGTTAATGAGATCTTCCTGCCGTCTCCCCGTCTGAGACCACAGGGGATCCACCCTGATCCCAGCCATTCCAGCCAAAGCCCAGTCTTAAAACCTGTCCATGAAAGACGGGGGGTCCTGGCCCACACCCAGTGTGCAGCTGAGGGGAGCTGAGACTGATTTCCAGCTGTAATTTACAAGTAGGAGGAGTCCCCACCTGGCCTGGGAGCCTGGGCTCTGAGTGTCCACGTCAGCAGCAATCAGAGCCATGTGTGACAATGACAGCCTGTGTTCCTGTCTGGCACATCTCACCTCCCGGAGCAGGACCCGGCCGTGGAGGGATCCTGAGAGTGCTCAGTGGCAAGCACCATGTATCCTTCCACCACGATGGTGCCAAAGTGGGGTCTCCTGGTGAGATGTGCCCCTGCAGAGACAAAGAGAAATCCCTTGACCTGTTTCAGTTTTCTCCGGAGTAGGACAGAGGGAGTTGGCCAGTCCTCAGAACAGAGTCCTTTAGAAGCCTCGCTGGGCACTGAAGTAAGCAAAGTATTGCTACGATTTAATCACCATTGCTGATGTTACTAACCCAAACCAGAGTGTGGGCTTTGCCTAACCCTAAACTCCAATCCTAACCCTCCAATCCCAACTCCAATCCCACCCAACTCTAACCCCAACCCTAACTGCAAGGTGTTGTGCTGAGTCATTGCTAGGTACTGTGTTAAGTCATCACTGAGCATTTCCTAAGTGGTCTGTTTCCTGCTGTTGTTGGATATATTTTGCTGAGTCAGCATTGACTTTTTACAGCCATTCCTGGGAATTTTTGCAGAGCTATCATTATGGGGTTTTTTTTGGTTTTTTGTTTTGTTTTTGCCAAGTCATCATTTTTTCTAGAATCCTCACTGGGTGTGCTATCAAGACATTGAGTATAATAGGGTGCTTTTCCCCAGTCCTTGCTGTATACTTTTGCTGAGTCATCATTGAGCATTTTTGCTGGTCAACAAAGAGTATTTTACTATGTCATTAGTGGCTGCTGCTGCTGAGTCATTACTAGACATTTTTGCTGAGTCGTTGTTGGGTGTTTTGCTAAGTTGTCACTGGGATTTTTTTTTTTGCCAGCTTGTTATTAGGTATCCTGCTGAGTCACTGTAGTGTTTTGCTGAATCATCATTGAGTGTTTTCCTGAGTCATCATTGGACATTTTGCCAACTCACCACTTGTTTTCTACTGAGTCATCCCTAGACATTTTGGAATTTTTAGAAATCTATCTCTAAGTATGGCTGTACATATTTATGTCTACATGTGTATACTTTTATATTGTTTAAATGATATTAAATTGTCATATAAGTTAATAGTGACCGAAATCAGAACTGTTAAGTAAAAGCCAAATTGCTTTTAGTCCATAATGTAACTAAAACTTTAAAACAGAAGACATGTGAGTACAGGGGTTGAACTTAGGTCATTGGTGACATGAACCTTTAACTGCTGAGCCATCTCAACAGCTCCAAGACTTAATTCTTTGAAAAACTGGTTAATTTAAATTTGTTGGTTAAAAATATTATCTCCATTATGCCTCCTGTCTTCCATTCCTCTCCCATCAGAGCCCTCCCCCCTCCATGGTCTCTTACTAGTTTCCTGGCCTCTATGGGTGTTCCAATTTAAACACACATATCTAAAGACTCAAAGTTGGCATCCATATATGAGAGAAAATATGTGATGTTTGTTTTTCTGAGTCTGGGTTACCTTACTCAGAATGAGTACTTCCAGCTCCATCTATTTTACCTGCAAATTTCATAATTTCACTTTTCTTACCAGCTAATTAATATTCCACTGTGTAAATGTACCACATCTCCATATAGGAGGAATGGGGAATAACAGAGCAAAAAGAATTAAGAGGGATGGGAGATAGACAAGATAGAAGAGGGAATATGGGGAGGGATAACACTGAAGACTTTTCCAAGAACCTACTGCTATGGAAGTTTCCTCAAATAAATACATATACACATATAAAGAGTTTAAGTGGACTTAGCCTATAATGAGAGGACAATGTCCCTCTTACATACCATAGGCTATCAAATAAAAAGCTCAAGTGCCAGGAATTACCTCTTTGGAAGTTGTTGGTCAGTGAGGTTCCATAGACCTACAAACAGTACAGGCTAGTTCCATTGCTCTTGGTTACTTCCAGAACTTCATGATTTGACCTTATGTTGAAAACACCCTATAACTGAGCTCAAGAATATGTAGAATCAAGTTATTGTTGATCTAGAAGCTTCATCCCTACTGGTTAGCTTTTACAGTACTTGCTACGCATGTGACTGGAGAAAACAAAATCGAGTATATATTTACTCTTATCCAGATGTAAACCCTGAAAGCTTATAGTGGTTTAAATGGAAATGGCCCCCATAGGTGTGTATATTTGAATGTTTTGTCCTCAGTTAGTGAAACTGTTTGTGAAGGATTAGAAAATGTGGCCTTGTTGGAAGAGGTAAGGCATTATGGAGGAGGTGTGTCACTAGGGTTGGCTTTGATGTTTCAAAAGACCATGCCAGACCCAGGCCCAGCCTCTCTCTCTCTCTCTCTCTCTCTCTCTCTCTCTCTCTCTCTCTCTCTCTGCGTGTGTGTGTGTGTGTGTGTGTGTGTGTGTGTGTGTGTGTGCCTGCTGCCTGTGATTAATCAGGATGTAAGCTCTCAGATACTGCTCCAGCACTATACCTGCTTGCCTGCCACACTTTCTACCATGATCATGGACTAACATTCTGAAACTGTAAGCAAGCCCCCCAATTAAATGTGTTCTTCTAAAAGTTGCCTTGGTCATGGTGTCTGTTCATGGTAATAGAATAGTAACTAAGACAAGGCTATGATAATGACTTGCCTGGCAAAATATGCCCATTGGTGAAACATTATGGGAGTAATCAATGGCTTTCTAGCTTGATTTAAGGCCCTGCTCCACAAGATAAAACTCATGCCTGGTGCTGTTGTTAGGACCAAGAACCTGTGGATAGATTAGGTCAATGGTCTCCAAGCCTGTTAAAGTGATACCAAACATTTCCCCCTCAAGAGTTGAGACATTAAAATCATTTAGGAGTTTGGTATAGAGCCTGTCTAGCCATTTCTGACTTAAATGGGGTATAGGGAGGCTTAGAGTCTCTATTCTTTCTGACTTTCAAGCCTTGGAGGATGATCAAGAGAGTCCAATAAATAGAATTAGGTTGCAGCTGGATCCATTGAGGATGGGTACATAAGAGAGAAGCAGTAAAATTAAGACAGCAGTTAAGCAAGATCTAAAGATTAATAGGGTTCCTACTAAGACTATACTAGACATAACCCATCTTTACCATGAAGATCCAGAGGTAGTCAGATATAGCTTGAATTTGATTTTGTAGGTAGTATAAAACAAATGAGACAATGGCAGAATGATTAGGAATATGCAAACATCATTTTATGTATAGTGATGAAAACCATGCAAGTCCTTTAATCTGATTACAGTTGGGGTGTGTCAGTAGCCCATTCTTGGGGTCTAATAAAGAAGCCTGTAAGCCTGGTACATTGTCACTTTGGAAAGTCTAGTCTAGTGAGTTATTTTTGTTTTGTATTATTACCTTGAGTGTGAATCTACAGAGTTTAAAACCACCAACATTTTGGGAAAGGAATAAAGAGACTTTCATTAGAGCATTCTATTAAAATCTTAATATCTTGCTCAAAAATTCCAAGTCTCTATTACAGTTGGCTGGATTTTTATGCTCTCCTATTCAGTTACAGGACACACACTAAGACTGACACACATGATCTTTTCCTGACACACTCACCTGTGAAGTAATTACTATGTCACTACCCTCACTTTGCATATTACCAAAGGAAAGCATGGAGTGAATCGGTGATTTGCTCTACGATGACGTATGCAGGTGCTTGAAACCTGACCTTCAGTTCCAAAACCTGAGCTCTTCACTAGGCCAAGAAAGACCAGCGTGTCCCACAAATATTCCGGGACTTGGACCTGGACTAGAAGCCACCAGATGCTGTAGGAGTGACAAGAGAGCCACTTCTCTGAAGGAGTCTGGGTCAGGAGGGAAGAGGGATGGTAGTTAGAAGACAGGCTTGAGAAAAGTAGGGAAGTGGGTGTGCTGTTGAGGTTGTGTAGAGTATGAGGCTCCAAGACAAGGGCTAAGGAGAAGGAGCTAGAGGGTGGAAAGACAGTGGATGCTGTGGTGATGTAGATGGGATGGGTGATGGAGAAGTTAAAGAGACACCATGAAAGGACCAATCAGTGGGGAGAAAGAAGACTGGCTCCTCCAGCCTTACCAGTAAGAGGAAGGGGGTGAGAATAGGCTAGATGATAATCACAATCACACACACACACACACACACACACACACACACACACACACACACACACATCACTGGGCCCAGTTCTCCTCCTCATTTATTCTCAAGAACATTTCATTGCTAGGCTACAACTAGCATTTTCAAATCCAGCCAATTCTTCCTTCAGTCCTGGAGGACTTCATGCATCCAAGTCCTGGGAATCCCACTAGCTCCTCCCTTCTGCCTTGGTCCTGGTCAGTCCATAGCAAAGAGACACAACATGTTACAAGAGGTGAAACCTCGAGGGTCTTTTGAGGAGGCAACATTTAAACACTAGTTTTTGAAAATGCAGCTGTGAGCTTTCTTGGGAAGAAAGAATAAAATACACTAGCCTGAGAGGAACTGTCGGGGAAAACAGGCTGTGGTGTTTAATCTTAGTGTCAACTTGACTGAGTCTAGAATCACCATGGAGACACACCTCTGAGTATGTCTATTGGAGTATTTCCAGAAAGGTTTAGCTGAGGAGAAAAGACCCATCCTAAATGTTGATGGCACCCCCTCTGGACTGGGGTTCAGGACTGAATAAATAGGAGAAGGTGAGCTAAGTACCAGCATCCATCTCTTTCACTGCTTCCTGACTGTGGTGTAATTGTAACCAGGGCCTCACATGCTTGCATATTTCCCTTCTCTGCCATAATGGATTATACCCTCCAACTGCTAGCCAAGATAAACCTTTCCTTGTTGTGGGATAATCTTTTTGTACACTGTGAAAATGTGTCTCTGCCTAAGGCACCTTCTGATTGGTTTAATAAAGAGCTGAGTGGCCAATAGCTAGACAGGAGGGAATAGGTGGGACTTCCAGGCACAGATAGGAACTCAGGAAGAATCTGAGGTGCACGGGATTAAGGCAATGAGGCATGGAGGGAGTTGGATGTACAGGATGGAGGAGAGGTAAAGAGTCACGTGGCAGAACATAAATGAATAGAAATGGGTTAATTTAAGTTCTAAGAGAAAGTTGGGAACAAGCCTAAGCTAAGACCAAGCTTTCATAATTAATAACAAGTCTCCATGTCATCATTTGGGGGCTGGTGGTCCAAAGAAAGTCTGACTACATTTTCTTCCTTA